TAAACTGTAAAAATTCAACTTTTTTACAAACTACTCTTGGAAAACATATGCCATTGGTCGTAAAAGAACATATGAAAATGACGAAACATCAGGTAATAAGCAGGGCGAGGCAGGACTACAATGAGTTGTCGACTTGGTTGGCCTTCTTTTCTTTCATACATCATACATTCTTTTCTTATTTGTCGTTTTTTTACAAATTCGAATGTTGATATAATTATTTTTAATAAAATGTCCGTATAAAACCGGTTGTGTGATGTTTCTCAAACAATAACATTATTTCCACTTATTTCAGAAAATTGTGTTGTGGTAATATACAACCTTTTTAGAATCGATGTGTAAAAATTCATCGGTTTTTAAAAACTAGCCTTAGGAATAATATGCCATTGGCCAAAAAAGAACATATTTAGATCATTGGACATCAGGAAAAAAGCAGGGAATCATGAATCATAGAATAATGAATCTACCTTTTGTTTTTCTTATTTGCCCTTTTTTTACAAATTCGAATGTTGATGTAATTATTTTTAATAAAACGTCCATATGACCCGTATGATGTTTATTTCTCAAACCATAAAAATATTTCCACTTATTTCAGAAATTAGTGTTGTAATACAACCTTTTTAGAATCGGATTTTACAAACTACTCTTACAAAAGTGTGCTATTGACCAAAATTAACATATGTTGATCATGGGACATCAGGGTTAAAAGGAGGGCGAAGCAGGACGACAATGAGATGTCGACAAAATTACGCGTTTGTTTCCTTCGTTCATAAAACTATCCTATTTCTTATTCTTTCTTATATTTTTCTTTATTTATCCCTTATGTCTATTAAAAGGAAAAACTGAAAAAAGCTTAGGAACTATCGTCTAATGACGAAAAGTCAGGCAAGATTCCAATACATTTTTGACTAAGTTGGCGTTTCCTTTTCGATACGTAAATCTAACATTTGTATTTCTTTTTTCTGAATTTGGTTGTTCAGAATAACATTTTTAATCACAAGTTGAATTTTAATTAATTAAGAGTATTGCATTTCTGTCAAGCTTTTCGACTCCTTATTTCGACTTATTTCAAAAGTGTGTGGTGATTAGTGACCGTTAATCGATAATTATTCAGAGATCGTGAGATGCGATCTGGTGTGATGTAGGTTTCAGAAAAACATTTTCTTTATCGTGCCACCGTTTCAATCTTTATTGAGATCATCTTCAGATTTACAAACATTGTTTACTAAATTTGTTAAATGTAAACAATGTTTGTAAATCCCAGGCTCTGAAGATGATCTCAATAAAGATCGAAACGTTGGCACGATAAAAAAAAAATTTCTAATACCTACATCACATCAGACCGCACCTCACGATTTCTGAATAATTATTTCAAAAGATTTGGGTAATGATAACAAAAAATCTATTGAGATTTTATGTGTAGAACCTCACGGTTTTTTAGAACTACTCTTGGAAAAATACGCCATTGGACGAAAATCATCACATCACGTTGATGACATACGTCAGGGGTGTAAGCAGGGCATACTACAAGGAATTACCGACTAGTTGGCATTTTATTACTTAGTATACAAATCTAAATTTTCTCTTTTTTTTATAGTACGAATATAATTGTGCTTACATTTCATATAAACACCTGAATGGATTTTATTCCAAAAAACATAAAATATTTTCGACTTATTTCCATTAATTTGACTTGTGACAATGGAAACGGTATGTTTTCTACACTGTACGTATAAAAATACAACTAAAGTCAGTTTAGTTAACTACAATTAATTAAGGTTTTCAGTTGAGATAAAAAAAGTCAATGGCACGAGCGGGATTGAAAAATGGCAAAAAGGAGGGAAAATTCAAAAGGTGCGAGGTCACGATAGCTCAATGTTCGAATCCCGCTCGTGCCATTGACTTTTTTATCTCAACACAAACCTTAATTAATTGTAATATATTAATTTGTCAAGCGGACCACGAAATTAGTGAATTTAGTTAACTATATTTTGATGACGGATTGTTAGGATATAAGCAGGTCGAAGCAAGACTGCGATGAGTTTGATGTCTAGGTTGAAATTATTTTCCTTCGTCATGAATCAAAATTTTATAATCACTAAATTCATTAATTTCGTGGTCCGCTTGACTAATTAATTGTAATTTATAATTATTATTTGACTTTTTCTTATTTAGCAAATATTAAAACTAGTGCATTAAGTGCATTAATATTTTCATCACAAATTCATATAAATGCATTTGCATGAATTGTATTCACAAAACATAAGAACTTTCCTTTTTACCTCAGACATTTTGGTTTATAAAGAAACATAATATTTGTTTAAACGTATGTACAATAAAAATACTTGGCCCTAAAAGGACCTCAAAATGCCGTCAGGGTTATAAGTAGGGCGAAGCAAGATTACAAGAGTTATCGCACAAGTTGGTGTCCTTTTCCCTCATATGGCGTACTAACATTTCATTTTTCTCAATTATTTTTCTCGTAGTTATACTTTAAGTAATGCTTGTTTAAAAAGCATTGAAATCTAACGTTCTTAGACTAGTAAATCTTACAGTATATTGTACACGATTTTCTGCAGGTATTATTTTGGTATGAATTGTCTTTCTCAAAACATTAAAAAAATTTCCAAATATTTTTTACTATGTGAGTTGTGGCATATTACGGTCTAGCGTGAATCCCCTTCACACGATGCAAACTCATTTCCTTGCGAGTGTAAAATAAAAATAAGAAAAAATATTTGTGCCACAAACTCAATTAAATTAAACGGAAAAGACAAAAATTGGGACCTAATCCAAATAAATTATAACAAAGCCTTCAAAAAAATAAATGTATTTAGATTTGAAAAAATAAAAATATATGATCTATGACATATGCAATCTCCTTGCCATTTACATAAAAAAGAGCAGGTGCCTTCAAGCAAAATTGAGAGAGTCCTTCCTCGTCCTTTCGTCGCTCAGCTCGTACGGCCGAGCCTGCGGTAGGGGATTAGCTTATCCTTTGAGATAAGCTCCACGTTTTTAAATATATTGTTATAAAAAATTCCCCCAAAAAAATTTAGATTGATGATTTGTCTCAATAACATCTCGAAATTTTAGTCGTTTAAAAAACTATGCTATCAGCCAAAATAGCGTCATAATGTCATGATATAAGAAGGATGAGGTGGAATGGTCTTTTCACACATAAGGCGTCTTTTTTCTTTTACCTGCAAAGCAGCAAATAATTGCCGGACCGCTTTGTTCTAATCGGCTAGTGCAAGGCACAATTAAAATTACTAGATACCCCAAATATGATCAGAAGTCTCAAGAAACCACCATCCCAAAAATTATAAATGTTTTAATTTTTTGTAGATAATTTGTTCCAGGTTTTTGCAAGGGCTTCAGAATGCTTAGTCATATCCGTATGTTGAGGACATAAGGGGACTGATAGTGGTGTCTAAGCATTAACTGTGGCCGATAATCAGCGTGTGGTAGCAAAAGATCATCAGGCTTCCTGGGCATCAGACAGCAAGATAACCAGTTTCTAGGTTCTTTGTTTTTGGTTTAAATTTGAATCGTCGCCATTCTGACTTCTTTATTTAACGCAATTTTGCGAACTGCACACTTTGCCATACAATGGAAACTTTCTTTAATTAAAATGATCCCAAACCATAAGAAAAATTAATTTAGAAAAGAATTATCTCTATTGCTACTTCAAACAACATCTTACCAGACCATCAGTTTGATTTTCAAACCGTAATTCCACTACATATCAACTTCACAGAGTTACCAATTTCATTAATTCTTGACATGAGCATAAACTGTACGGTAGTGTTTCTATATGTTTCTCAGGCGTTCGACAAAATATGGCATGAGGGATAATCTTACAAATTAAATTTATTTTTTCTCCAGGCCTTATCTGATTATACAATCATACCTTAAGGAGATATTTTTCGCAGGAAGGCCAGAGTACGGAGACTTCTGAGATGGAAGAGGTGCTTACAGGTCTGCCACAAGGGTCAATACTCGCTCCGCTGTTGTGCACAAATGAGATTGCACTTACCGCCACATACGCACATGACACCGCCATATTAACAAGTCATCTCTTTTCTACACAACCTTTTGTTACAAAACCGCATATTAAATTGAAAACTGGAGCAATCTGTGAAAAATAAAGTTTAAGCACTCACAGTCACAACATATCACCTTTACTCTCCTTCGTGAGACTTGTCCTAGCATATACTTGTACAATGAACCTGTAACTATTTACGACTTGCGTTTGATAGAAGACTAAGTTAGAATTCACACACACGATTAAAAAATAGACACTTAACAAACTTAAAATGTTTTATTATCCACTCAACCGACAATCAAAATTACCATTAAAATCAGAACTTTCGACCTACACATACCTACTCAACTCTACTTGGATGTGCGGGTGCCAAGTTTATGAATCGACCAAATATTCCAATATTCAAAGATTACTAGGTTTTCAATCCGAAATGTTAAGACCAATTGTTTCTGCCCTTTTTTTTAGGTAAGCAATAATAAATTTTACAGAGATCTTTACATGCCAGCAGTTTTTTCATCGTAAGTACGCCCGTAATGCCAGAAACATAAATTATCCAACCTGCCGGTTGTATATAATACATGTACAATTGTAAATACAAATAAATGAAGTTAAAAAAAATTCAATTATCCTGATCAAAATATAAAGCAATTTAAAAACATAATAAATTCAAAAAAATTTGCAGTTCTTTAATTCTAGAAATAACTTTATAGAATCGTCTTTTCAGCAATTTTTAAATTTTCGTCAAAATTTTCTCTGCTCCATGTTTTTAATGTTATAGAGCTTTGGAGAAAAGCTATTTGAGATTATAATATATGGTAAATGTGGGAATAAAACGGCGCAATGTTTAAGAATATATTTTATTAAACAAACCTATAAAACTAAAGTGCTTTTGATCGTTATCTTGCCAGTTGAAATAACTTTCCGAAGTGAAGATTTGAATTGATAATACAATTATTCACTGCAAAGAAAAAAAAATATATTTACAAAGTTACAGAAATCAATCATATTTGTAGTTTATCTTATTATACAATATAATAATTAAATATACAAAGTCTTGTTTCGAACTGTGTTCTCGAAAACACATTGCGTCTAACCCCCGTGTGGTTCGAGGTGCGGTAGGATGGTGGTTTCTTGGCACGCTAGCGGAAAGGTACAAGTCTAATTCCTTGGTCTGTTCCTGTTGAGAGGGATGGCGCCAGGAGGGATGTTAATCTGGGGCGGGAGGTCGTCGGAGCGTTGCTGCGCCTGCTGGTAGTTCTGCTGTGGCTGAAAGTCCTGTCTCTGTTGGAACTGCTGGGGTCGCTGGGGCCGGGGTTGTTGCTGGGGCTGTTGTTGGAACTGTTGTTGATGCTGTTGTTGCTGTTGTTGTTGTTGGAAATGCTGAGGGCGCGACGATTGGTGCTGAGGACGTGGCTGAGGAACGTTGGGGAGATCGTCTTCGTCCGCTTCTTCCGGAGGAGGTGCGACCGTCGTTGGCACTTCGCAGTCGTCGGTCGGCGGAACGACACACCTCAGAGTCCTTTTGTCGAATACAAGCATAGCTGGGCACCTCTGGAGACGAGGGTATCCGCCTTGGCACTGCCAGTACCTGTTGCACGATTTTCCAAGAGGAACGTTTCCATTCGGATCTTCATTGCAAAGTGCTAAACAATTAATTAATTATTATTATTACATTACACAAACTATCATTTAACTAAACACTAAATCAACCTATATCAAAAATTAAATGTATAACCCTATAAAAAAATAAAATATTCTCAACGTTTTTAAATATAAGTCTAGTTATTTAATGTTTCCCGTTTTTAAATAACCTGTTTCACAAGTACAAATAGCTACATTAATACAACAAATTTTATACACACTTTTTTCAGACTAAATAAAAGCGAATAATTTTAATTGCATTAATTGAGTTTCGTTCTCACCCAATTTATTTTTCTCTAAAATCTCGTTTTTCGACTTCTTTCGTTCTTACTCTCTATCTTTCTATATGTCTGATACTTTTTCGCTGTGAGTACCACTCTTCTTCTGCACGTGTAACATATTCTGTAAGAAATAATCTTTTCTCCACCCCAATATTCTTTTATCATTTATTCACACCTCTTTCTCTATCACTATTCCCCATATTGAACTAAATTATAGTGTTAGATCATCAGTACTACCCTTGTTCTTTTCTCTTTTCTCTCACTGTCCATTTCAAACAATCTCTCTCTCTCTCTCTCTCTCTCTCTCTCTCTTTCTCTTTCTCCCTCTCTTCTTCCCTTCCTCTCACTCACTTTCAATGTATCCCTATCTGTTTACTTATACTTCTATCTATCACTGTAGTTGTATTACTCTCTTTGTCTCTCCATCTGACGTATGCACTTCTTTCATTCTCTCTCTCTCTCTCTCTCTCTCTCTCTCTCTCTCTCTCTCTCTCTCTAATATATATTATATATATAATATATATAGATAATTATATATATGTAATTTATCTATTTATATACTTCTGTCCCTGTCTATCTCTCTAATTTGTATCAAAATCTCACTTTCTATTTATTTGTATACCTCTGTCTTTGTCTATATGTCTACATCTGTCTATCTATAATGTCCATTCCCATTCATCTCTTTCTATTTCCTCTTTCTTCTTATTTCCTCTTTCTTTTTGTTTCCTTTCTTTTTCGTTTCTTTAATCATTTTTAATCTGCCTATCTATATATGTAACTAAATAATTACTTATCATATTCCCTACTTCACTCACACTCTTTCTTTTCATTTCTCTTTCATTCTTGCCAACAATCACTTTGTATTTATAACATACTAGATATCGTTTACTTTTTATTTATTCTCAATTAATATTTTTCATCACATCTCACTTGTCTATGTAACTATATTATACTTTTCTATTACCTTTTTTTTCTTATCTCTCTTTTGGTCGTTCCCTACGTACTTAAAATATCGCCAACACATTCTCTTCCGAGTTATTGTAATTCTTTCGTTTCTTTATCCCTCCCTCTTTTTTGTATCTCTTTCACTGTTTACATATGACCATTTTTATCTTGGATTTTACGTACGGTGTTTTTGGCATCCGTCTACATTTTCAGGCCAGTCGCACGAGTGGGTGTTTTCGTTGTACAGCAAACCGCCGATGCAGAGCTGCTCCGTCGCAGTTCCGTTCCAGCAGGTCCAGTAGCGTGTGCAAGACGTCTCGTGTCCGAAGATGCCGTAGAGCCAGCCGCAGTGTTCCTTCCCGATAGGCCCGTCTGAAATAAAAAAACATCATCGTATTAAAACCGATTGAACTGTAACATGAATTGTTAATCGAGAAAGGGAAACTTTTTCCCGATTGCATTCCTAAACGGGCGAAAGAACACGTAACCATTGTTGCTATTCCTCTATACCCTCTCGTTCAGAATACCAAGCAGGAAAGGAACACAATGAGAATTAAAACTTCTGGGAGATTGAACGTGAAACATCCACTGATTGATGGTTTTAAAAAAATCGGGATAATTATAATTCTCTTTTCTCGGTTTTTCGCCTAGGAACTCCGAGAGGATCGGAATCATCTAAAGGAAACATTAAACAAAGGAAAAGGACAAAAGAGATTTAACAATGGAGAAAGACCTTCGTCCAATCTACATTGTCTTTGACTCATGAGACTTGTTCAACTACTTCATTAATTACAGACTCTATAAAATACAAAGGTTTTCTATAATAGAGGAAGGCATCGTTGTTCGAATCTTTACCCTTTTCGACTCATTATTATTTTTATTGGAAAATATCTGATCAAGTCCTGGCAGACAATGTTTTTAAATCTAGCCTTATAGGTTGTTTATTATTATTACAAACTTAAGAGTATTTCTAACAAAATTCTATGCCTTTATCAAAGCGTTTTGTAATTGCTTAAGTTAAGTTGAGTAATTTCTTAAGTTGCTAAGTTTTATTGCATTTAATGAAACATAATATCCTTCCAATTAGAACTTTAAACAAATAATTATTTGGAGATCGTGAGATGCGGTGTGGTGTGAAAAACCCGTGCCAACGTTTCGGCCTTTATTGAGATCATCTTCAGAGATTTATACACATTGTTTAAATCATTCAGATACATGCAATATGTGAAAAATGAATTTATACAATGCTAGAAATTTTAGATTCAATCAAAATATTTATACTCACTAACTTCAAACAATCGTTAATTAACGGTCAGTAAATACCACACATTTAAACAAATAGTTCAACGCTGAAAATTCTGGGTCAGCCTATTCTCATTGTCACAAGTCAAATAGGTTTGGATATTCATAGAAATTAATGCTGAAATATTTCTCAAGCATGATTTACCTTATGTCCAAATATTACAATTCAACAGTGATTTGTTCTAGTTTTGAACTAGAGTAACCTACGGCAACATGTCCTATGTGAGAAGCACAAGCAAGAAGAAGAAAGGAAATGGTACAGCCACCAGGAAAGAGAGTAACCCCTAGAAAAATATCGAAGAGTAACCCAGGAAAAGATATCTCAACTACCTCAAAGGTTGTGCACCAGGATATGGAAATAAAGGTGGGCCGATTTTCCAACAGATCTTTTAGGTCACAATGGAAAAGATGGAGAATAAAGACCTCGTAAAAGGCGAAAAAACTAGCAGTAAATATTTTCTGTTGTGAGTGAATTTGAATTTTATTAAGATTTCTTAAAAATGTTCACGTTTTCATGATAATTTTCAAATATTCTTTTTTAGACTGTTTTTTACTGAAAATTTTGAGCTACTAGCAACATTTCTACACCGCCAAAATAGCAGGAAAATTAGTAGTTCAGAAATTAGTGCAGAGGGCACTCGGAATGTCAGGAAGACGCGGATAGAATATGCAAAACTTGTAGAATTCTAGTCTATAGAATTAGTTCTAGGATGTGTCGTGCTTGGGTTGATGCTGAAGCATATTAGATTAATATGAGTCGATAAAATAATGAACTGGCTTAAATCTAAAACATAGTACATTACTAGGCTGCTCAAAACCGAATCGAACACCTCCTTGTTCACGAAAAGCGCAGCGTCAGTCCTTAGTTAAATTCCAACCCTCATTCTGACTAGTGATCAAGAAAATGTAAGTTATCTATTAGTACTTTTGTTAATATTTAATTTGCCATAGTTTTATGTTGAACAAAATTGACATTACAATTTATTCAATCAATTCATGGTTGTGTCAAATTTCTTTAACTACCAGATCAGAGACACGTATGCTGCTATATGCTGTGAGTAAGTTAGCTGAAAGGTATACTGTTTCAGAGGCTGGAGGAATAACGTCGCATACTCAAGTATCCATTTTCTCATGGCTCGTTTCTGTTTTGAGTACGAACTGCCTTTGACATAGCCATCTTCAAACTGCCCTGCGATTTGGACACTGCTTTATGACAGCCCAAAATTGTCGCGGGACATTACATCGCAACGGTGACGCGCAACAAAATGTCTCGTTGAGCACAGTCCTAGTTACTCGCTTATAGATATCTGCGATTTAAGAAAGTCCAGATACATTGGCATAAAATTTTATAACATACTACATAAATATAGTTGAATGGATTGTTCCCATGGATTGATTTTTGGCTAATCTTTACAGACGGTTCTCTGGTAAATGGTATCCCTAGGTGTGCCTTTTTTGACCCAAAAGATACGCATCGACAAGAATTCGCCCTCCCAAACAAATTTTCAATATTTTCGGCAGAGGTTGTGGCAGTGTTAAAATCACTGGAATATATCGAGAATCGAGATATAGAAAAAGCATTGTACAGTCTGCCTTAGCATTATACACTGGCTCCGAGACTTCTCCATAAATACAAAGTGCTAATATCTCATAATTGAGGTTGTCAGAAGGCTAAACAAATTGTTTGTGGAAAATAAAAAAGTCGACTTATGCTGGGAGAGAGGCCAATCACTGCACAATGACGCAGTGGATAAGTTGGCAAAGTCCGCAACGACAAGCCTACCATACCTACAAGCAGATTATGAGCAAATGGCAATCAGCCCATAAAACGCCGGAAGTAGAAAATACTACAAATCCCTCTTTCCCGCGCTCAAAAACAAACCATGGTTTGCTGAAGGTGATAAAACCAAAAGATTTTACGCCATTATAATGCGGCTTAGGACCGGGCATGGAATATGTGGGGCCCATCTCCGCAAAATAATTGTTTAAGGTACAATGAGGGTGAAGATCTGTGGCACATCATTCTGCTTTGTAAAAAATATACGCCTTAGAGGGAAAGGATTTATCAGGATATCATAAAGTCCTCCTTAATAGAACATCCTTACAACCTAGACACATTACTGGCATCAGAAGACAGTGACATTTACGATAGCCTATATAACGTCCCATGATTAATTGATTGATTTATAAACATGGTCTCTTTAAATTAACATAATTTTTAATAGATTTTTATGATTGTACCAAATATTTTTCAAACAGATCCTCTCTTAGCAAGATGTCTTTAAAATATTATTTTTTTTTTAATTATTTAACATTTGTACTTACTAGCTTGAGTTTTCCCCTCGCAGTAATTGGCTCTCCAGGGGTAGTCGCATCCTTCAGTAACACCTCGGTTCTTTCCGGCGTAAACCAGGCCGTTGGGACAGTCGTAAAGTTCCGGCTGGCTGTCCTGGCATTCCCAGTAGCGGTCGCAGTATGTCGCGTCTGCAGCGACTCGACTCTTACTCTTGCAAGGGTCATCTTGGGTCTGCTTTTGGCATAACGCTACAAAAAATGAACATAAGCTCGATCAATTTTTTTTCTGAGGAATCACGGTCTTTATCGAGCTTTCCCAATTACATAAAATCGGTTTCTTCTCGTTCCCAGTTTCACATTAATCTCCAAGACATGTAGGTCAGTGGTGAGAAGTAAGAAGAAACGCTCGGGGCGTGCACGCTTTAAAACTAAGTCTTCCAGGCGAAAGCAACATCGGAAAGCTTTCAGTGCTTTCAAATGGCATGAAAATCGAGCAGAGTTTAACGCCGACCGGTTGGCCAACCTTTTTCCGCGTCAAGGACGGTTTAATGCAACAACAGCTTAAAAGCTCACGTGTGATAACTTGTTTTCTATCCTTAATAATTATTTCATCATGAATTCAGAGTATTTTTTGTTTATTTAACGTTTAGTTAACTCGATGATTCTTAGTCAATTTACCTTATTAGTAAGATCTTTATTGACTTATTTCTCCATCTGACATAACTTTAATTCACCATCGTTGTGCAACGTTTCAAGGTGTGCTAGGTGTATTAATAATTCAGCGGCCATTGTTTGCAAGTGTTATTTTCCATCTGTTCCGCGTTTATTTCGAAACTGTCCTGTAAACAAATTTCGGATTTTTCTTTTCCGAATCGGATAAATCTCAACTGACGGGAGAAATCTAGAAAGTATCGCGGCAAAGGGAACCTTCACTGGGCTGACTTTTGATATTTAAACTTCGTGCTGGGTAAGGAGATTGGTGTATTTTTCTACTTTGAATTTACAATGTCGTTGTGTTTTACTTTTACTTTTAGGAATTATAATGATACCAGAAAAAGAGAAATACAAAAAGCCAGCGATATAAGAAGAAAGCTGATAAATTTGTGTTCTTTCTTTTGGGAAAAAAATATCTAAAAAATCAAAGCATGTGCAATTGAAGTTAGAAACAAAAAATATTTCATCTTACTTATTTAGTATTTATTTAAAGGCTTAAAAATCATAGATTACATCACTAGATAATATTGTTTGTTCGTTAGCCCCTGCTAATTTAGCTATTTCAGCTTCTTGCCATCTTCAGTAGTGGTTTTACCTTTAGAACAGTAATGAGTTGTATAAACATTCTGTTACGAGAAATCCACCATTGAAAATGGTGAAATATTCCTGACATACTAAAACCCAGCGAAACTAGGAAGACCACGATGATCAAGGTTCATCACACCCTCATATGTTTGTTGCAATGTGCTTGCATAACTTATACTTCATAAGTTATTTACTTTGAGTAAGATTTTTGGTAATTCACGTCTTGAATTTTAAAAGAGAAATCTTTTCACCTCGGGATTGTAACAGTGATCGGGGAACGAAAGGTTCGCAACGAAAGCGCAATAGGCAATTTCGATTCAGCGGAAAGGAAAGCGAAACGGTTTTCAAGGCGAAGAAAGGTCCCAGATGTAAAAAACAAAGAAAAAAACAAATTTCCTTTAAGATAAACAACAAGCGATTAACATATTCGAACCGTTCCAATGAGCCTGGAATCTGATTTTCACGCCCTTGGCATTGAATATGGAAAAAAATGACCCGAGACGGATTGCGGTAACGGTCGACCGCAACCGACATCGTTCCAGGAGGAAAAAAATAGGAAATACTGATCAAATCTTCTTTTTTTAATCCAAGGTGTGATCTCGCGTCTCTGGGCTTGTTGAAATACGATTGTTCACCTAACAGATCATCTCCCATTGCTCAATCCTATTGTATTGTTTTATGCAATGAGAAGCGACTGGCAGAACATCAGTTTAACTCGTTAAGCAGATGCGAAACTCCAAAACCTTCATCAGATTGTTACATCTCGATTAGGACAATCCTAACCCTTTTCCTCAGGGCGAACCATCGTTGATAGAAAAGAACGACTTGCGAACAATCTCTGGACAAAAATGTATGGCTCCGACAGTTCTCTTATAAAGACCATCTTACTTCAGAACTTTACTGGAATAAAAGAAATACTCCTTTGACAGTTTCAGCATTCCTCTCCTCAACTCCCGACATTTACTAAATTCACAAAAGCCCAATCCCATCTTCACAATGAAATATGAAGCCATCTGCAACGATATTGAATGCTATTCCTAGCCGACATCCTGCCGGAATGTCCTAATATTCACGGATGGCTCGCGAATAAATGATAACACGGGGTGCGCTTTTTTTTGACCCGGTAACAATAGAAAAAAGTAATTTTCCTTGATTAGGTTATACTCGGTCATTCGGCTGTAGTGGTTGCTTTCCTGAAAGCTCTAGAGTACGCATCAGTCTTACAGTCGCGTAAAATATGATTCTAATGGACAGTCTGAGAATAACAAAGCAACTAAAGGACTTCTCCATCAACACTAAATGCAAATTTATCCTAGTCGAGGTTGTAAGGAAACTCTATGAATTGCACGAGATAAATAAAGAAATAGCTCTTTGTTGGGTCAGAGTCATGCACGAGTTCTTCACCCTGCTGGACATACCCACCTCAGCAAGCGACTAGAAATACCATACAAATAAAAACTTGCAAAAAACTGGTAAACAGCTTATTTTGCATCTTCTGTGGGAAAAACATACATCTCCCTATTCCCCATTCTAAGAAGGGAACCGTGCTTCGCAGAAACAGGTGTTAGAAAGGGTAGAGTCTTCTTCTCCACAATGTCGCGCCTCCCGTACTGGACATGGCTTATGAGGCGCCTGCCTGCGCAAAATTGGGTTTAGGTATTCGGCAAAATGTGAATCTTGCGACGAACTAGAAGATCTCAACCACATTTTGATTGGGCTGCAAAAAATTCGAACTGCAAAGAGGAGATATGCTTCAAGCTTTGGAAGAATACTCGGTCGAGAGCCCCTTCAATCTAGGGACTCTCCTAAATACAGGGAGTACAGCAATCTGAAGAATTCTGTATGATTTTATATGCAAAATTCATTATAATGCTTCCTGTATTTCTGTTCCGATTTTAACCTTTTCTTTTGGACCCTTTGTTCCTTTCAGGAGATTCCGGCGGCGGCGGGTCTCTTCGCGGGCCTCGGGGGACGTAACTCTGACAAATGGACATTGTCTAGGGTCATAAAAAATTTGTTTAAAAAACCTTTCCTGGTTTTAAATACAAATAATATGGCCGTGGCCCGCCGGTTTGGGGTCCTTTCAGGAATGGGCAAAAAGACTTGATACAGTACCGGTCCGGCAAGTCTCGATGTGTGCATTCAAACATTCCAAAATCTATTCATTTTTATAGTTGTAACACTTTTTTGCCCTTTCAAAATATTTATAAATACGAAACTTTTGAGGAAATCCATTTCTTGTTACGAAAGTTCCAAAGATCACTCTGGTCTACCTATTCTGGCTGTTTACTCAAACGGCGTCTCATTCTTCTTTTTCTTTTTTTTAATATAGTAAATAATTTTATCAATATTACATTTTTACCGTATATTACAAATATTAAACAATTATTGGAAATATTTTTCTTATTTTTCAAGATTAAAATATCACCCTGATCCGACTATTCTTGCTGTGTTCATTCAGTCTTTTCCTCACTGATGATGAGTAAGGTCATTATTCCCCCACAAGAATTATTTATCGTGCATTAGATATAGAAAACTGCGAGTGGAAATATTGTTTTGATTTAAAGATATAAAGTTCACGTTTATTTTTTTATTATTCATTATTTATTATTCTTATTACTTATTCAAAGTTACATTTTTATTGTATTTTATAAATATAAAACAATCATTGGAAATATTTTTTTATAAGATCAAAATATTCCCCTGGTCCGTCTAGTCTCGCTGGATTTATTCAAGCGGAATCTATCTCTTTGTCTGTTTTAGTATGATAATTTTCCCCATTATAAATGTTTTATCGTATTTTACGAAAAGAAAACCGCCAGTGGAAAATTGTTCTGATTTGTAAAGATCTAGCGTTCAACCTGGTCCGCCTATTCTCGCAGTGTTCGTTGATATGTCATTTCCTCTTCAGTTTTTTAGTATGATCAATTTTTTGCGAATAATAAATTTTTATTGTATTTTACAAATATAAAACAATCATTTAAGATCAAAATAGCCCCCGGGTCCGTTTAATCTCGCTGGATTTTTTCAACCGGAATCTTACTGTTTGTCTGTTTTAGTATGATAATTATTCCCATTATAAATTTTTTATCGTATTTTACGAAAAGAAAACCGCCAGTTATTGTTATGATTTTTAAGGTCCACAGATCAACCAGGTCCCCCTATTCTCGTTGTTCTTTCAGACGGCTTCTTACTCTGAGGTTTCAGTATGATCATTTTTCTCTTGTAATGAATTTTTTATCATATATTATTCAGTATTGTAGTATGATCAATTTTTTGTCAATTCAAATTTCTACCGTTTTTTACGAGGGTATTTCAACTGGGTTATACGAACACTCGGGGTGGTTTTTGAAAAAAAGCCCGTTTGTAAATATGTCGGGTTTGAATGCGGGGCCGTTGGATCCGAACCCGAGACATTTACCTTACGCTGATCGCCGTGTCAACGCTTTACCGACGCCCCTTCAACTTATTTTTAAAATATAAATCTCATTGGAAATATTTTTTTCTGTTTTTCAATAACAATATGCTGGTCCGCCAAGTCTCGCTGGGTTTATACAAACGACACCCCACATTCGGGTTTTTCAGTATGCTCAATTAATATTTGGACAAATAATCAATTTTTACCGCAATTAATTAAAACCTGCAGTGCAAATATTGCTCTTTAAAGATCCAAAGATCACCCTGGTCCGCCTGTTCTCGCTAGGTACGATCAGCTATTGCACCAAACCGGTGGCGGATTACAACAAAAAATCCGATAGCTGAGCTTTATTTATATTTAATAAAAGTCCAAGGCCAATTTTGAAAAAAAACATTATATGTTGAAATTCTTGAAAAACCTTCAGAATGTCAGAAAAGGTCTCGCTTAGAAATAAAAAACATCAAAGATGGTGCAATGTGTTAAACCAAACGGCGAGACCACTTCTAAATAATATTATCAAACTTAACATTTAAGCAAGAAACCGATGAACAAGACGATAACTCAAAATCTCTTCAATTTACGACTTTCTATATGCAAATATTGTCAAGTTTATTTGAATTAAACTTTGAAAATGTCTAGACTTTATTTTTATAATATTTTTTTAACTACGTGCTTATTCTGAAAACATTCTGATTTTTTCGATGAAAAGAGATGACGGAAAAATAAATACAAAAATTGGTAAAGTTTTCAAATATTTAGATTGAGTAATAGTTTTATTATTACATATAATATATTTGACTATTAAAAAAATTACAAAGCAATTAAAAGTTAATAAGATATTTAGCTCAAGATGTGAAATAATTATAAAATCTTTAAAGTATGATTAGAGTCATTTGTAAGGATTTTTTTCATAGAGAGGTTATTATCTAAGCCCCTAAGTCCCCCTCCCAGGATATATTTTATAAGTTAGATTCCCAACAAGAATCATTATGTAATTTTTGGCCAATTTGATGTTGGATTTTTTTTAAATGTTTATTCAGCTCAACTATAGCCAAAGATTTACCGATGGGGTTTTTTTCTCATGAATGTTTGGTGTAAAGCATTCCATCACGTCGACTGAAAGAGCATTGTTGATATTTTTCTTTTTCAATTTTTGAACCTTTTCAGAAGCCACGTCGTTCGTAAAAAAATTGATCCGATTGAGATTTACAAAACTGTAGAAATTCCATTGTGTTAGTTTTGTTTACCGGTTAAACCGAGACGTGAAGCATTCCTGGTCCCGGGTTACATCAGAGGGATCAGCGGGTGTCCCCGGGTACTTTCGCCTTCGAAAGAGGCGTGTCGGCTCCATTAACGAAGTCCTTCCTTCGCGCTTGACAATAGTGAAAGTTAAGTTTTCCTCTATGCCCTTCCGTCTTCGAGAATCGTACGCTTGACCCGACGGTTTTTTGAAAAATGTGTTGGTTTTTTTTTCAACCCGGGGCATCTTCAATTGCACAATGTTTTACATAAGTCGACCCGGAGAGGTGGTTGCGCAACGGCTAATGAAATGGAAAGCGCCCTTGTACACCTTAGAAATCGGACTTCCTCGTAGGGAAAATCCCTGGGGAAAATCGGCCGTCCGTGGAAGAGAGGCATCTGAAAACCATCTGCCGGTGGATATATCGGGTTCGGGGATCAACTTACCAACGCCGACGATCACGGCGAACAGCAAACAGTTGGTAGTCGCTTCCATTGCTCGTCCTGGGACACTGCCAAGAAACGTCTGAACCTCGGAACGGCCGTATGCTATCTTTCTGGGTGGGAGGTGGGAGAAAGTCTTTCGGACCCCTCCACGCGGTCATCCCGGGTGAAAGAACCGACGGCCAGCGGATTTCGGAAGGGCTGTTCACAAACGCCTTCTGGTAAACGTGGCCCAAATATTATTTATAGTGTTATCTGGATAAAAAAGGCGGTTCGAAAATAATAACTACGAGTTGAGAATCAAAAGATAATTGATGAAAAGTTACCAGCAACCTGGTGTCCTTTCACCCTTTCTCCGCCAACCCCTTTGAAGGTGACAATTCACCTACGGAAATCATCACAGATCACTGACGAGGAAATGACGCGTATTCGGCTCAAGGCGACAACTTATGATTAAATTCAATCGATAAAGAATTTTTTTATTATGCACGATCACAACCCAAGGCTTTCAAATATCTTAACATCAAAACACTACAGCACTCCAGTTTAAATTTGACCAACAATCACGAGCGCTGTATTAAATACAATAAATTGTTTCATCTAAGTTTTGAACGCTCCCTTTGTTGTAATAAATAATAAAAAAGTACATTTATGCACATGTAAGAGGAAATCATAAATAAGTTATCAACTCAAAACATAGACAATACTTTTTTACATAAGTAATATAGAGATAAGTTTAAATAGACATAAATATGAACAATATATTAATAATGAGGCAACAATGAATAATTCAACCAATCTAATGCATATTTTATTTATTTTATTTTATTTTAAACGACCTTATTGGCCTCATTAAGTCTTAAGTCTACACAAGTCAGCGGTGCAGCGCGGCCCCATCGGAGCGAAGCCCCCAACCCCAGACCTGGAAAGAACGGAACCACAGGGATTTCTCTTAACTAATGCTTTTAATGCTATTATTGTGCACAGGGCTTAATCGAGGAAGGGTCGGTGTCTAGTCACCATCGACACCTACTCTAAGCTCACTGGAGATTCCGTGATCGCAGAGTCCGGGAAGACACCCCCACCCAAGACCGACTAGCCAGGCAACAATGAATAATTCAGAATATCACTAATGCATCTTTTATTTTATTTTTTGAAGGTTGCGACCTTATTGGTCATTAAGCCTTAAGTCGACACAAGTCAGCGGTGCAGCGCGGCCCCATCGAAGCGAAGCCCCCAAGCCCCAGACCTGGAAAGAACGGAACCCCAGGGATTTCTCTTAACTAATGCTTTTAATGCTATTATTCGGGGACCGCGGTAGCCGAGTGGTTAGCATGAGAGACTCTCACGCCGCGGTCGTGGGTTCGATTCCCACCGTTGCCCCTGGCCCTTTTTTCCCAATAACCCCCCAAATTTGAATACACATATACGATTTTGTCACATGGCTAATATGCATAGTTCATAACGCCAAAAAAAAAAAAAAAAAAAAAAAAAAAAAGCTATTATTGTACACAGGGCTTAATCGAGGAAGGGTCGGTGTCTAGTAACCATGGACACCTCTTCTAATCTCACTGGAGATTCCGTGATCTCCGAGAGTCCAGGGAGGCACCTCTCACTCCAACCCAAGACCAACCAGCACCCGAAGCCCGCCACACAGCCAACATGGGGTAGCAGCGCAAGAAACTAGAGTGAAGGGGGATAAGAAATTAAATTTTATCTATTATTTGGATGTCTATTAAGAAGTGAAAAATTTTGTTTATTGATGTTGAGTTGTTAAGTGTGGATTGGAGGTCTTTGGGGATCTAATGGAAGGTTGCAGGGGTATATAAAGGACAATTAATTATGATGGGATATAATGATAAGAAATGTACAGATAAGACAGGTTTAGGGGTTCTTTCAAGGAGGCACTATGGGTGAGCGGGAAGTGGCCAACTCGAGCCGGGTAAGGAGGATTTCTTCTTTTCAAGAAGGTCTAGAAGAAGATTCCCATTTTAACATCTTTCTTTATTGCGATGAGTTTGTTTCCTGTGCAGGCACCCGATTCACGCTTCCAAGCCTCCCGGACTAGCTGGCTAAAGTGACAGAGTCACTGAAGGGAACCATACTGCGAGGTGCCATTTGCCTTCTTGCCATTCTGACCGCCTTTTCATTCTCAGTTATGCCAGCTGGAATCCATTTGAATAATACTTTTACGCCTACGTCTTGATATTGTTTAATTTTTAAGTATACCTTGGACGTCAAAGTTTAAGGAAAAGATGTTTTTTAGTGTGGTGAGTGCTGACAGAGAATATGAACAAATAATTGGTTGGTACGGGTGACATAAATGATGTTAACGTCTTTGAGTATGGCTAGGTGTTTAGCAGTAAATTGCGTCTTTAATATTCAATTATTCTAATATTAAACATACATTAACACATTAATGAATAATTCTCCGAATGGTCTGGAGTTTCTTACATTTTTCAAAGTTTGTTTCTCTACTTCATTTTATATTATTTTTATCTTAAGTAAAATAATATATGTCATATAACCAATTAGGTTCGATGTGTATTTATAAAAATTAGATATTTAAGGGCTCTAGCCCATTTATGGTTTAGTATGTACAGCCCCCTAACATGTCCACATTTATTATTATTATTATTATTTAGTATGTTTTAGAATGGTTGGAGGTTCATTCACTCCGTTCTACTCTTGCTCTCTTTCTCTCTCTCTCTCTCTCTCTCTCTCTCTCTCTCTCTCTCTCTCACTCACTCTCTCTCTCAAATATTAAGTATCACCTAATTCGAATTCGTTTAATATTCGTGAATAACCGATTATTAAAAAATAAGTGTAGATATGACCAATTTATGATGTATTCCAGGTTTAATAAAATTTGATTAAAGATATTTTAAACGTACTTTATTGGATAATTCTACTGAAAAGATAAATTATTGAATAAGTCTATGATCCATTTTTAAGAACTTTAATTCTTATCATTGTTAAAATGCATAAATGAATAATTCTCACCATTTTCTTTTTGTGGTCTTTTTTAACACCTAATCCTATGATCCATTTTTAAGAAACATGAATTATGGTATTGCTAAAGAGCATGACTGAATCATTCGTGTCATATGCCATTTGCCGCATGTATAAACAAATAATTTTATGAAACTTTTTTAAAAAACTTGAATCTTATAAATGATTATTCAGAAATCGTGAGATGCGGTCTGGAGTGATGTAGGTTTCAGAAAAACATTTTCTTTATCGTGCCAACGTTTCGATCTTTATTGAGATCATCTTCAGGGCCTGGGAATTCTTCTGTTTTTCTGAAACCTACATCACACCAGACCGCGTTTCACGATTTCGGAATAATTATCGATGAACGGTCACTAATCACCACACACTTATAAATGATGAATAATTCTTGTTTTATTCCAATTGTAACATGTTTTAACGAATGATTCTGTGATCCAAATTCAAGAAATTTGAACCTTGAGATTTCTAAAGTGTTTGAATAATTAATTCTTACCATTTTCTATTTGTGGCCAAATCAAGTAACAATCTAATGATATATTTTTTAAAAACTTGAATCTTATAAATGATGAATAATTTTTGTTTTATTCCAGTTGTGGCATGCTTTAACGAATGATTCTGTGATCCAAATTCAAGAAATTTGAACCTTGAGATTTCTAAAGTGTTTGAATAATTAATTCTTACCATTTTCTATTTGTGGCCAAATCAAGTAACAATCTAATGATATATTTTTTTAAAACTTGAATCTTATAAATGATGAATAATTTTTGATTTATTCCAGTTGTGGCATGCTTTAACGGATGATTCTTTGATCCAATTTCAGAAAATTGGAACCTTGAGATTTCTAGTTTTGAATGATTAATTCTTGCCATTTTCTATTAGTGGCAAAATCAACTAACAATCTAATGATCAACTTTTAAGAAATTTGAATCTTATAAATGATGAATAATTTTTGTTTTATTCCAGTTGTGGCATGCTTTAACGAATGATTCTGTGATCCAATTTCAAGAAATTTGAACCTTCAGATTTCTAAAGTGCTTGAATGTTTAATTATTGCCAATTTTTATTGGTGGCTAAATTAACTAACAACTCAATGACCCACTTTTAAAAAACTTGAATCTTATAAATGATGAATAATCTTTGTTTTATTCCAATTGTAGCATTTTTAAGCATCTTTAATAAATGATTTTGTGATCCTATTTCAAGAAAGTTGAACCTAACAATTTAATAATCCATTTTTAAAAAACGTGAATCTTTTAATTTAAAAAATGTTTGGATAAAAAGTTCTTGCGATATAATTTTTAAGAAACTTAAATTTTATGATTGCTAAAATGTAGTTCTAATAGTTCTAGTCATGTTTCATTTTCAGTCGGTTTTATTCAACAATTATAAGATCTAATTCTAAGAATATGTATGCTTTGATGATGTAATGTATCTGTATTCGAGTCATTTTCCAATTATTACCTGTAATAACAAACTCTTTCATCTATAAATTTGTTGTATATTTGTTGTGATCTGCTGCCATATCGTTGAGTTATATCTAGTTTTGAATATCTAAATTTGTGTAAATATAGAATAAGCTTTGTTAGAGAAGCATTTCTTGAAAAATTAAATTAAAATTGTATTTAGAGTAGTAATCGTTCAATCGTAAACATATTCATAAGCACTATCTGATCATTTTGGCAAGCTCAGTCACTTAAGACAGTAAAATGACAGAAAGAACAAATTCAAAAATCTGTTTGTTCCTAATCGATGTTATTTTGAATAACGAGAATGTTCAATGACGCACGGATCAACCGTCAAGGTTTTATGACACATAAGTAAAATGAAAATGGAAGATGTAGTCCAAATTTGTTTACCAACGCCCATATTTTTTTGTTTGGGATACGTGTTCCGAGATTATAAATTTTACGTTTTATCCAGTACAATTTCAAGATTCATGACGGACGGCATTGGTGTCCGTTAATTTACAAGGACATCCAGTTTGAGGAATCCCAAGTGATTCAGACTGGCATCTGCCCCAGGGCCCCGTTTTAAGGATAATCATTAGGAAACCTCTAAATGCACAGTGCTTCTGTTTCGTAATCTGATCAAATCAAAAC